TAGGAAGTGTGGTATTTGTTAAAACCTCATGAAAAAAATATGAATCTTTCTGCTATCCACTTCCGAGTGAAATACTGAAGTTTGTGGGATTAATCTCAAGGTTAATACTATCAAGCGTTAAGCGCATTAATTTTCGACAAAAGAAGCTCATTCATTTATTTCTAATGCTGGGGCGTAAGCTTAACACAGCAGTGATAAACTGTAATTACCTGAGCTGTAATTGACAACTGTCGCTTGAGGTTATCAGCTGTTTATCCATCATTCAAGATTCTCTTTTAAAAAGCCTTAATTTTATTCCCTTTCAGGTATGTTTCGTTGATACTTTATCTGAATGAAATCTAAGATCTATAGTTTTGATGTAAACTATCTACCTTTTATGATATTAAGCGACAATTTAACTTTCTCACAAATTCGGTGTGTAGATGGAATGACACTGTCTTTAATGAATAGTTGTAATTTCTTAGCACTAAGTTAAATGTTTATAAAATGTCCACTTTCAGGTGGCATTCCACTATTGTTCAAACTGCAATATGTGGTGTACTAAACGATGGAAATGGTAGCAAAATCATGAATATGGAAGCCGTATAATAGGCATATTACTTACCAGAACAGACTATTTAAGCACAGAATAGCTTTTAAGGATCTGTTGGTACTATGTATCTCTTGTCTATCCAAAAAGCTTAGAAGAACTGTAGTATATTCAATGATTCCTCTTTATGAGTTGAATAAATCTGGATATACTTCTCGTAAAGTATCAGAAACGCACTTAAGTCCAACTTTTTGGTGTCATTCTACTGAAACTACTAATACAGTTCAGTAGAACACATCGTAAAGCTGACTTCAGCAGGTTAATTTATTTTCCAATTATTTCCAAATATCTGAGTGGTATATATTAGCTTCTCTATAACTGTAGTCACTGTAAAGAAGGAGATCTGGAATTTCACTGTAAGCAGACTTACACTTTTGTTTGATATTGTAAACTATTATATCATGGGAACAGTCAACTGGATGTCAGTCAGCATGTCTGTTTGTCCCTAAGTTCATAAATCGAAGTCTGTCTACTAGATGTGCAGTCTGACCACTAAGTCATTTGACACGAGATTGTTCTGAATTGTGGTGGACTGTGATTCGATAGTAGATGCAAGAAGAAGTTATATTACACAAATCCCTGAATTTAGCTTTGCAGTTTGTTAGCTCTTATTTGTAAAGCATATCTGAAATCCTGGGAAGATAGATATCCACTTCGTGGCTTTTAATGTATAAAGCCAGACTGTTGCAGTAAAGATGAGAGTGTTTGTTCTTGATAACATCAAGCAGGAATATCTGGTGGATAAGGAAAGACAGATTGTTGAATGTTTTTGTCAATAGGTGAGTCTATTGTTTGACTGACGATTTCACGAGAAGCACCAGGTTTGATAGAACAGCCTCAAGAGTGGATCATATAGGTATTTTCTACGATAAAACTCAGAGAAGTGTTTTTATGATAACCACAACCTACACATGTAGTCAACAGTACCATGAATTGATTAAGAGCATTTCTTAACATAGTGAATTTAACTTGCCCTGGTATACTTAGTTGATAAATCAGATAGTTTACATGATTCTGTGATTTCATTTCCTGTAGATTAGTATTAATAATATATGCCGTTGATTTTATGGGGTCAAGTAACCACACATTTCAGGTCAGTATCATTTAAGAAACAAGAGATATCATTCTGTCTGTCTTCCTGTGCCTTTTCCTGCTTTGTCCTTTGAAATTAAATTTTCCGAAAGTGTGAACTTTTAAATATTTATTACTCTGTTTATGATAATACACCTCTAATATATGTACTACTTATTGAATAAGTTCACAGATTTCACTGTATCCATAAATGGATAAGCTTATCGTAAAATAACTTTATCGTTTTCAGAATGAAAAAAAGTGTATTTTGAATTTATGGAATGAAAAAGTTTTAAAAAATGACAAAAATAAGTCCGGATTTATGACTGGAGTCAATTTTTTTTTGTTATGAGTTCAACACTAATTTTAAACAGAAGTCAGCATCAATTTAGGAATCACTTAACTGTAAAGTTTTTTGAATAGCTATTCTGCAACACTAGCAACGATTGATGTGATTGTCGATGGCTAACAATGGAATCCAGGTTGCTAAGAGAATGTACTACCATTCCATTGAGTGTTATCACTCAAAATTAAGCGTTTCAAACACCAAATGAGTAACATCAGCACTAAGCGTTCAGTTACCCTGATTGTCAATTACAGTTTCTGTGTCAGGGCTGAATTAATGGAATTAAGTTTTGAACCCAGTAGCAACTACATAAAAGTCTAGTGACAGAGCCAATAGGCCAAACATCGACTATTATCAAAATAGAACTCAAATAACGATGTGTTCATTCTAAGACTATGTGTTACAGCAAACCACCGTATCCAGTCGGGTAGAATCAGTGTAAATTTACAAGTATGAAAAAGTGTTTGTACTCAGTGAGTAGAGTATTACTTAGTCTCAAGGAGATTCCATAAGTGTTAAAATCAGCCGGTACAATACTCCTGTACAGCACGCTTTGTAGAAAGTTTCTCAACTAAATCACTCTAGTTATTCATCACTCAGTTCGTTGACTAGACAGACAGATTAGCTGCTAACTTGTTCTGTGTATAAGACTGTTGAATGTGTGAACAAATGTCACTTAGACATGGTTAGGTTTCCCATGACTATTATCTTCTTTTTTAAAATTCCACTTATCTGGGAGCGATTTTTTAAAACTATACTCTTTTTATGCTTGATTCTTGTTTTTGTACAACTTGTTGTCGTGTCCATCGAAATCTAACCATTTGTTTATAATTTAACAGTCATTGTAATCCAGTTTTAACGCTAAACACTATAATTGTCGAATTCTAGAATTTGTAATTAACATAACTGGAAAAAATTCGAGTGAATGTTGTCCACTTATATAGTTATAGACACATAAATATATCCGTAAATTTACAGTGGGTGAATATTATTCTGAAATGATAAATAATTAAAAAGTTGATGTATATTTATTATCAGTTAATATATACACTGAAGTCGTATTCGAAAATAAAATTTAGTTTTGTACTGTATATTTCGTGGATAGATAACCGTGTTGGTTAAAATTTGTATGATATTTGAACAACTGAATCAACACCTACTTTTGATAGGACATGTGCTAACTATTTTGCCGCAATTACTCATCACACACACAAATACACACACCAGGTCACGAGTAGATACAATGATTCACGATGCACTTTAAGCTTAACAGAGATCTAAGGAATGGTTGGTTAAAGAATCTTGGGGTCGGATATAGCTAGCATATAATCGCCTTTTTTACACAAAGAGCAGGAGTGAAAACCCCATGTGGTACTGCCATTTCAAGTTGAATTTGGTTAGGCGGTATGATGAGAGCTTGTGTATCCATCTCATTCCTAAGCTGGCATACCAGTAGGGATAACAGCACTAAAAAGTCTTGCAAAAATTTATTACAGTCACCTAGTGAAACTTAACTAACTTAACACTAAAAACCCATTCTAATACAGAGGAACTCAATGAACAGAAAGAGGGTTAGCGAGAAAGCCTTACTGTTACAAACATTTCTTTTCGTAAAGTGACAGAGTGTTTTTAAATCCCACTGATGGCATTAATGCTAACCGGATTATATACAGCAATATGAGTCGATCTGCAATGGTTAGTGAAGCTTCACAGAACTCTTTGCCGAAGGGTTTTCTTAGCTGTGACGGTTAGTTCGGTTATCACACTGCAGGTTTCATTGACAGATCTCTGCACCCGTCTACATCTGAACAGTTCGTCACTGGTTGCTAGTTACGTAGGACTTCACTTCAAAAAGCTAATGGTTCGTAATAAGCAACAGCCACTGACTTCATTTAATCAAAAAACTAATGATGAAAGAATAATAAGGTCTTAGATGACACAAAATGTTGTTTTGAGGTTATCGCATAATTAGTTCATCATGCTTTTCTGGGTTTACGACGACTACTTCATTCTCTTTCCTACTGATTGTTTTTCATAATCAGTTACATGGCCTGAAGTTACTCTACAGTTGAACATAGATAATAATTTTTTTCAATAAAAAATTACTCTTCTAGACTTTTATGAACTGATTACTGCGTTGTTTGTTTACGGGAAGTCTAAATTTCCCGCTGAGTATCTAGCTATGTCATCTGTTAAACGGACAAGGAGATATCTGATGGTATTAGATGGTTGGAGGCAATCGGCAGGAACCCTTGGACTCCGGCTTCGTGCTAGTTGGCACTCATCAGCAAGGCGTATCTGCAACCTTGAAGGAACTCATGTCCCTTCTGAGATTCAAACGCGCGTCACCCACTGCTGCAGTCAGAGAAGTTACCACTGAGCTATTCGGGCTCGCGATTGACCTCCTGTAGGACAAGAAGATCATTGATTATTCATGTGGTACGGAAATGGTTTTTTTCTTCGACAGCTCACTTATCAACAGTTATGTAATGTTAACATTTAGCGATATAATTTCAGTGTGTTGTTGACATCATTTTCTTCTAATTGATCTAGTCCACTGTTTATCCGTGTACAATTGAACAAAAGAGCTTCAATTGCCGAGACACCTTGTCTTATTAGCATAATTAATGTACCATATTTGCACTCTACGATGCAGAATTATAAGTTAAAATTAAACCGAAAATCAAGATGAATTCGATGAGCAAACTTGGTAATTAACTCTTTCTGATATTCATTCACATGATGACTAACACCTGACTTACTTTTCCAGCATCACATTAGTTACTGGATAAATAGCATACATGACGAAGGTAGAAATGGTTATCTTTGCTGCTTAGATGGCTGGTGCATAAGGATGTTTCACAGTGATGAGCATGTTCTTGTGTTTGATTTAAAACGCAATAGAGATATTAAAAGGGGGTTATTTTTTATGTTGATATATTTTAGCCCGTATCCAAAATTCACCTTATGTCTTTAAATATCTTTGTTCTGCAGTTAATTATCCTGAAATTGAACTAATTCCGTCGAAGGAGAATGATAAGAGTATCAAAGATGATTTACTGCAATTGAGTTGTATAGCCAAATCGTGCGATTCAACAATATCGTATGAAGGTGGGCGGCATCGTAAGTCAAGTGTTGGAGCTGCTTCTTGCCCTATGAATGGTCATATTATACGATGTGAATACCTAGATTTATTGCGTTTATCGTCGAATAATACAGAAAAAAAAGAATTAACAAATCAAGGTGTGGTTAATACAGAAATTAGTTCAATTATGTCAGAGCTTAAAGTGCTGGAATCTAGTGCAGAGAAATTGGTTGTCACTGTACCAAGAAGTAAGTCTTCTTTCTCTTAATTATCGAATGGTATTGTTATTTCACGGTTTCTTGTTGATGTGTATTTATCACAAATAGAGCTTTGTTGATATTTTACTTAAAATGTTTCATAACAATGATTTTTGACCAGATGAGCTGTTGGCCTCTTTGCATTGGCCAGTAGGCTGATGAGACGTGTGATATTTCCAATTACTATACCGCAGTAATTTTTGTACTACTGATAATGCCCATTCGTACGCCCATCAGAATCCTTCGTATCGGTCAGAACAGTTACTTGTGTTCAACCCAACTATGTCACCTGGGCAGCACTAATTAAGGAGTGGTGGTTTTAACATCTTTGAATATTCAAAAGTCAGAGAAGCCTGACCTACAACAAGACAGCAATCAAGTAGATTATTAGTAATAAACTGCTCATATAAAATCTGGTCCAAGGTACGATTGTCGAAAACGCTCATTTTCTTCTAGGGTAGCACTGAAGATGATTCCCGCACTAACGTTGTCACTTTTTTCAGCGAAACTCAAAATTCGGACGATGTAACTAAGCCACCAAAACATGCAAACACTCCATGACCTCTTATAAAATCACTGTATATTGTGTTGTTTCGTAAAAAACTGGAAATTTCACTTGTTAGTGTATATTCTCAGTCACCCGAACAAACGTTCTTGTCCTTGCAAGAGAAAAAGTAGATTTCTGTGGACAGTGTAGATCTATTGGTACTTTTCTCCAGCACGTGTCTCTCCTGTCTTTTTCATCGTCAGAAAACTTATTTTATAAAATTTATAAATCACATGGAAGTAAAATATAGTTGTTAATTCATATTTCAGTATTTATGACTTATGAATATTTACATGCTATGCTTATTTCTAAATATATCTGGGAAGTACATTTATTTGAATACTATCGTATCGCATTCCGTTTTTCTTCCACTAAAAGTAGAAGTTTTCGACTGAAAAGAAAAGCTAAGCAGTGTAAACTTGAGTAATTCTTCAGGAAATACATTTCAACATTAGGCAACATTCAAAAAGCTTTTGAAAAAAACAGTTATTTATTTCGATATAAGAATCATATCCTATGATTGTGAGCAATAAATTGTGCTCGAAACATCATCAGTAAACATTACTGTATAACACTGTGAGACTTTATCATAACAAAATTTACCCATAATGGAGTTATTTATTTTCACTTCGGGTTTAAACATCAACTCTGAATCAGACAAGAAGTATCTTAATAAGGCAGTTGGAATTCGACTCACGATTTGCTGTCCTTAGGTACTAACTTTCCTCTTATGGTTTCCAAGAGTATATCATTACAGACGCATAATCAACTCCTATCTTTTTTCCAGTTTTTATCTGGCTGGTGCCAGTTTGTACTGAAAACTACTCCGATACCAATAAGCTATCTGCAAACTTATTATTATGCTGTCTAAGCTTTATTTTATTTCAGTAGTATACTTGTGTATATATAGACATTCAAAGACAAATAAACTCTTTCGTATCCGTTCTTCTAACTACATAAATTGTATTATATATGTGTAGAAATCATTGCATAGTGATTAGAATTTAGCCTTCAGTTCAAGGCCCCCAGGTCTCCACTAACTACTAGAGAGTGAACACTATGCGATACAGTTAATTTATGCAGAGATAACTTAGCAAAAGACAGAAAAAAGTGAAATTTTTTCATATTATCATCATTGTAGCCTATTCATTTATCCTGCACGTGTGCATGTCGTCATTAGTATGAATACCTTTCTGTCTGTCCATGCAATGAGATTAAAGAAACGCCTAACTAGTTAAATGCATCCAGCTATCTCCGCTCGTTCACTGTGTATTGTGTGTGTGTGTGTGTGAATATTTCAGTCTTAGTGAAACATTTATTCACTGTCAGAAATAAATAAATTACTAGTAAATATTTACATATAGCTAGACAGTGCAATATAGGCATGAAGAAATTTACTTTTTCTTTTCAGGTTAAACTAAGTTAACCATAGTTTCAGTGTTCTTGGTATCTACGATTTTCCTCTATAGTGAGTGTTAATAATGCCAATTAAAGATTTATTTCTCTTAACTCAATGCTCAGTGACTTTGATTACAGTCCGCACTGCAGTTTTTGGCTTAAAACATTATACAAAGCAATTGAGGCACATACTGACAGCCTTTGAGATACCGTCATGGAGTGTAAGATAAAGTACATATATGTAACTCTAGAGAAATACTTTTCTGCAGTGAGATTCAAGGTTATGTCGTCTAGTACTCTGTTTAAGAATTGAACGAATTTTACACGGAGATATCAGTGATTTCATATATAACAGTAGAACATCAGAGAATTCTCAATTTGGGAAATGAATTCACGATTTGCAATTTACAGAGCTAGCCAGAATTTAGGTGGTTCGAACAGATATGACTTTTAGAATTGAATCAAACAGGTTACACCACTGATAAGGTTGGCTCCAAACGAGAGAACCTGCCGTCAATTGTTTAGATCACTTCGATTCTCTGGTTAGCATGCATTTATGGTTCATGTGAGTAGTATCTAGCTACTGATATCAATTAATCAACCAATTAATCAATAGTATGTGATACTCTGTAATCATGAGTGTCAGGCAATCATGAACAATTCGCTTATGTAGCATAATTTTTGTTAACAATTCGGGACAAGTTCTCTCAAATTGTTTTTCTACGGGGTGAGGGTGGGATGTTGTAGACGAAAATATGACCATAACTGGTGTGAAATGCTTACTGTTTTAACTGTTAGAGGCCAGGGACGTTGTCCTGCATAAAGCGGCCGTTATTTTTCTTGTTTTCATTCCTTTTTTTGAAGTTATCAAGAAACAGTTTTAACCATTACCACCTCATGAATATGAATTTACGTATTCAAAACTATCTACAACAAGAGGAAAAATGCTTCCTTATTTCCTCGTAGTCTTTGAAATTTTCTATCTAAGCGGTTTGTAACCACACGTCTTATCACTTTAACTTAGTATGTCGGCTTTGCTAGTTAATCAGTGAACTGTAAACCCAGAGACTTATTTGAGGCGAAAAAGGATTCCAATTTATTGTATTATGATGCAATGAAGTCAGTCAGTCTTCCCAAGGAAACCTAATTTATTCCTATTCCGCATTTCTTATTTTGCAACATACTTATTCAGACTGATTTCAAACTCCCTTCCGATTGGCCTTCCTTCACTTATGATAATGTCAATCAAACCCACCTACATGGCCTTGAAGGGTAATTTCTTATTTGCTCAAATAATTAATGTAATAGTCCTAATTTAATCGATAGCGTAATTTTTAGCCCTAAAAACAGGTCTTAATGTTGATTGGGAAGAAAAACTGTTGATGTTGGGGATAAATGAGGATGCAGGAAAACAAATGTGCGTAAATCTGTGTTACTAAATTTTAGTACGTACGCAGGTACACTGTATCGGACGTCACGTTAGTGTATCACACTGCCCACATTGTGTTACATTTGAAACCATTCTAACATGTTTTCAAACACTTTGAGTAACCAAGCAGTAGTGTACATTATTTGTTTTGTATGTTCTACCTGATAGTCATGTGGTGGTTCGACGACAGGACACTTAAACCGAAAGTTTTCAGTCAGTGATTCCTAATATTCAGTTACTTAACGCAGTAGTTAGTGACCTGATGGACTCATTACAAGTTCTGACCTCCTCTAACCTTTCTGCACCGTAACTTTTTCATGCCAATATTATATGTGAATAAAACTGAAGGCACAACATGTGAAACATACTATATAGCCACTTTAATTGATGAATATTCACTAACTTACCGATAAGCTGCTCCTTCTTAATCAACATTCTCTTTCCGATCTCAACACCGCCTGATGTTTTGTTCTATCTAGCGTAAAAACGAATGTTACTTAAAAAGTACTTGCATTTACATGACCTTGTTAACTAGCCACAATATATCAATTGTAGGTTACTGATACTGCCCGCTTTCACAGAGCTGGGTAGATAGAGTGCGATTCAAACTCTTGTTCCACTGGTTGGATTTAGACTTCATAAACGAACGGATCATTTGATATGAGCAAATGAATAAAAGGAGCCTAGTGGTACTGGAAACTGAGTAATATATATTTTTTCTTGAACTAGGAAATATTCATCAACCACCATGTGAAAGCGGTAAAAACATAACGGTTGCATGATGCAATCATCTTTACTGACTTTTTGGTACATAAGTGAAAATCTACTCTAGATTTTTGATTCTACGTGGTCGCGTATCTCCAAACTTGACTTGTGTCACCTAAATAAAAACTGCGAATAGTAAAAGAATGCATTATTGTCCTTCTCAGTTATCTAGAGAGAAGTTAAGTTTCATAAATGTTGTAATAAAGTAAATTTTCTATTCCATACTGAAGAGGTATGAAGTGACGCCTGAACAGTCATAGGCAAAATCTTAAATCTCGTAAGTGCTAGACACCAGTGTGTGTACAATACGTTTAATTCACATCGGAACCTGCTAATGTAATACTTTTTGTTTCCTTCAGAAGTGATTAATATTCCTGTGTTCTTGTCGCCACACCCTTCTCGATACTTCAAATATCCTTGTTTGTTTCTTCACTTCTCATTCCTGCGTTGCTTTTTTGGCTAATTGTGACAATGTAAGAGGACGAGTAGTTAGTGAGGTATAAATGTCTCTTCTTATTTAGGTGCTCCTCTTACAAAATCGGTATTCTTATTCTTTTATTAATTGCTTTTATTTCCGTGACCATTATTACGCATGCATTGAAGTAATTTAGTCATATACACTTATGATTTGTAACCTGAGGCAGTACGAATAGGTAATAAACTACTCCCTTACCGATTAAAGCAGTCGAACGTCTAGCTATATAGTCATTTTAATACTAGTAGCTTAAGTTGTCACGGATACCTTCGTAACAAGTAGACATATTCAGAGACTGCTTTCTTGCCATACGTGGATTCTCTTTAGCTGTGATAGTGAGAACGAAGAGCATATAAGTCGATAATTCCTGTATAATG